GAAAGAGAGGAGGGGCACACTTTGATTCAGCAGACTAACAGGATTTTTTTCTTTTTAACAGACAGCTAGTTACTGATCCTGCCACTTCACAGAACTTCTGGAAGCTGGTGCCCTCTAGTGAAATCAAGAGGTTTCTTGGAAAATTAAAATAAATGGAAGTTGTTCCACTGATTCCATCACACTGTAGTAAGCAAAAGTTCAGTAGCACCAAGCTTCTCCCTCTACACTAGTTTGCAAAGAAAGCAAGGTGTGTGGGGACAGCAACAAAGAGCATACGTCTGTATCAGAGCAGGAGTGAGGCTAGTACCCCAGGGTCATGATACCTGCATTAACCTAAACAAACATGTTTACCATATGATCCTATATCACAGAATCGTTTAGGTTGGAAGGGACCTCTGGAGATCATCTCGTCCCACCTCCCTGCTCAAGCAGGGACCTCTAGAGCATAGTGCCCAGGATCACATCCAGACGGGTTTTGAATATCTCCAGCAAAGGAGACTCCACTACCTCTCTGGGCAACCTGTTCCAATGCTCTGTCACCCTCCCAGTCAAGAAGTTTTTTCTCAGGTTCAGGTGGAACTTCCTGTGGTTCAGTTTGTGCCCGTTGCCTCTTGTCCTGTTGCTGGGCACCACGGAGAAGAGGCTGGCCTCATCCTCTTGACACTCCCCCTTCAGATACTTGTACACATCCTATATCCACAGCAACCAAAGGGAACAAAGGCCAAAGTTTTAGCCTCCAGATTTACGTCTCAAACCTTATCAAGGCAACTCACAGCAGTCAAAGCAAAGAATCTGTCGGATTCAGCTGAGTCTAGGAAGTCCAGCACCTCCACTTCGAACAGGACAGTGGCATTCAGGGGAATCAGAGGCGGACAGCCTAGTTTCCCATAGGCATAATTCGGCATGAAGACAAACCTTGCCATCTCTCCCTTCTTCATTGTGAGCAGGCCAATTTCCAGCCCCCCTAGTGTAATGTCTGCCACAACAAGAAATGGAAGGTCATGAGAATCACGAAAGCAGAACCCTCCCCTGCGAGCTCTGAATAACAATTTCTCTTAAAGCCTAGAGAAAAAGCCTTGGTAGTCCACAGCTCAGCAACTGCAAAAGTCAATTCCCCACCACGAGGATAACTTGTGCCCACATACAGCTGCTCCTGATGTTTGGACTAACAAGGCAATCGGCCATGGGAACAAGCAAACAAGCTAGCAGTACACATCAACTTCTCCTCTCAGGTGATTTAAAAACTTTTAAGATAGTATTGGTTTCAGGACAGGTGTTAAGCGCCCAGCAAGAGCACTCACAGCACAGAACCTGCTGTTCACTCCCACAGTCAGGGGAGGCACAGGGCAAGCTGTTCCAGACTGAATGCCACCCACATGGAGCTTTATTGTTCTAATAGCAAGCTTTAAAGGTTTCAGGTAATCTAAAGGCACTCAATAGAGTCTAAATTAACGTCTTAAAGGGCAGGTCTTTAAACCCCTGCAAGTCTCAAGATAAACTTTTCAGCTCAAATTTACCTTTTCCAAGTTTCATCAGTCGAGGAAGCTTCCTGTAGCAGTTTGTGCAGAAGGGCTCCTCTGCATATTCCAGGTACCCAGAGTACTTCACTGCACATCCCACAACGAGCAGCAGGGAGATGACAAAGCAACAGTTTGACTTAGTGATCAGTAACAATATCAGCAGCAACACACTGGGAGTTGCTTTTGCAATGCCAACCACCCTTTTACCCTGCTTTTCTTTTCACTTGAGCTGTAGAACAGCAGAGGGAACACAAACCACCTTGTCACTATACCAAACATCTGATCACAGCCAAGTGGTGTTGGCTGTATTTTAACACTGGCATCAGATAAAATAGCTGTTTCACAGCCTTAATTCCTATCTGATCAAGAGTTGTGATTTCGTTAAGAACTGGTGAGAGTTTTGTGAAGGAAGAGAATGGAAACTTTGGCCAAACAAATTAAAATACCCCAGTTATCTGCAGAAAGATGCAACAAAGCCCTTTCCCACCAAAAGCTTGAGCCCTGGAAAGAGGAGCAAAGGGGAAGTGTATCCTGCAGAGTTTTGCTGCTCTCCAGAGAGCTCTATGGGCAGCTCCAGTTCTTATTCAGATCAGAAAACCCTCTACAACTGGCCCCTCATGACATGACTAAAGCCCTGAACGGGAACCACTTTCAGCTTCAGACCGCTTCTACCTACTGTGGACACAGGTGGGACCTAGAAATCTTGCTTTTCTCAAGGTCAAGCTGTCCCTTCATTTAATCTGTCAGCCACAAGAAGTTAAACAGACTATCCCGAGTGCTACAACACTGATAAGAGGGAGCAGACAGTCTCTGAAGCAGCAAGATATACTACTGTATAAGCACTTTAATTCTTGTTCTGATACCAATGCTAGAGTCCTATGAAGCACTCAAATTTGTCAGCCCACAAACACCACCACTCTGGAGGCTTAGGATATCTTTTAAAACAGGTTCTGTCCTCACGTCTCCCAACATGCAATTCGTGGCTAGCCATACAGATAAAAGCAGAGACCTTGCACTAAGACGTAAAGGACGCACACAAGCATGAGACCCTGACCGCAGCCTACAGCTTCCAAGGACTTTGTTTTTTCCTTAGTTCCCTTAACCGCACACTTAGATTTAACAATGGCCATTGGTAGAGGAAGTCGTTCAGGGGAGGGCCAGTCAAGTTGCAGTTGGAAGGCCTGCACAGACTAACCAGGACACAACGTCCTGACAGGGACGACACAGCAGGGGAGCTGTGCTGCGAGCTCACGTGGGGCTCACTGCGGGATTTTTGGCCAGCAGCGTGGAGCAGAGGACGCTCAGGCCCCAAGGGCACATCAGAGCTGAGCTACGCTCTGTAACACGGGCCCCGGCAGGATTGCTCCGAGGGTCCAGCAGCAGGGCTGCCCTTGAGCCTCTACCAGGAAAGGCCTGTCACGGGCTCTGGGCCCTGCAGCACCCGCACGCAGGGGCTGCTGGCGCAGGCGCCTCAGCCCACCCGGCCTGGCCTGAGAGCACACACCGCAGAGCCCCGGGGCAGCACGGCCAGCACCGGCTGTACCTGCTACAGAGGCGTCCGGGGGCACCAGCTCCCCGGCGCCACGGCGCAACACCTCCTTGAGCACCCCTCCGTCGCCGCTGAGGTCCCGCAGGTGCCGGGCCTGCACCAGCCGCTGGAAGGGGGACAGAGGGGCGTCCTTTCG